GAGGAGCTGGCAACCAAGATGGCACGTGTGATAGAAGACACAGAGATCCCTCTCGGAAGAAACAACGCAAGTGTGATGAGTGCGGCAAATTCTTCAGCCAGTGCTCAGCCCTCATGCTCCACCAGAGGATCCCCAGGGGAGAGAAGCCTTTCGTATGTGACGTGTGTGCAAAGGCTTTTAGCCGAAGTGCGGTCCTCGTCCAGCATCGGAGGATCCACACGGGGGAGAGGCCCTGCAAGTGTGGGAAAGCCTCCAGCCAGAGCTCGAATCTCTCCAGGCACAGGAAGAGCCACACGTGCATCAGCGCTGGGAGGGAGTCAAAACATCTACTCAGAACTTTCCCCACCGAGGAAGGCACACAGAACCAGTAGCTTCTGAGTGCAGACCTGTGGTCTCAGTGAGCAGTGACCTTTCTTTCTTTCTTTCTTTCTTTCTTTCTTTCTTTCTTTCTTTCTTTCTTTCTTTCTTTCTTTTGCTTTTTAAAAATTTATTTCAACATAACTATGCTTACAGAAATACACTCATATTGGTTAATAGAATGCAATTTAAGTTTAACTGATTTTACATGATTTGGACCAAAAACTTGGTACATGGTTTAAACATTAAAAAAAAAAAAAAAAAAAAAAAAAGATTTGCAAAGTTTTATTTTTCATATACTACAAATGTATATAAAAGATCCTCCAAAGCTGCTAAAGCAGGCAGCAAGAACCTTGAGAAATTAACCTTTGGTTTGTCTGAAAAAATTAACACGTATTGCACTGTAAGTTTATAAACTTGGTACAACAAAAACGGTGTTGCAATGTTTCAATGCCAGTTTACAAATTTCATTAACTAACTAATGGATGTTGAAAAGAGTGGGAAAAGCCTATGTATACATGTGAAACTGAAAAGGTATTTGATTTAGTTAATATTGCATGTGGATTATAAATCTACACAAACCGAGATTCAGATAATTTCCTGAATCTGAATGAACACATTCAGCTGTTTATCTGCTGAGGTCAAGAAGCAAACTCCACACACTCGCTATTTTTCTGTTTTATGCAAAAAAAGAAAATTAGAGGATCCAAGACAGGTAAACACCTAACCACAGCCGCACACAACAATTTCAATAAAATACAACTAAAATATAAAATGGACATTGCCCAGAGCTACAGGAAAGTTGACTGACTGGAAATTCTACAACAAGAAGGAAAGAGAAAGCCAGAAGGAAAATCAGAGGAGCTATAAAAGCCTAAGGTATGGAAACACGGTGCACATGTGGGGATAGGACAGTGCCAGAGAGGAGGGGGAGGCTGAGTGCCTGGCTGGCGTTCCCTAGCGGGAAGGAGATAAAAGCTCCAAATTGTGCTGAACCCCAGACCCAATAGCACTGAACCCCAGTTCTAGGCCAGACCCTGGGGACCCAGGCTCACACAGAGGAAGCCTGGGCTGTGAGGCGGAATAGCAGGGGAGCAACAAAAGGCAGAGCCCCGTGAGGCACGCACATTGCGCGCAGAGGCTGAACTGTTGACTCTACTGCCAGATTGCCCTAGTGGGAAGGAGACAAAAGCTCCGGACTGTGTTGGGCCCCAGTTCCGATGCTCTGAACCCCAGTTCTAGGCCAGACCCCGGGGACCCAGGCTCATACAGAGGGAGTCTGGGCTGTAAGGCGGAAACCCGGGGGAGCGGCGAAAGGCAGAACCCCCGGAGATGCGGACATTGTGCGCAGGGAAGGGACAGTTGGCTGTGCCTCGGGATTGCCCTGGCAGGAAGGAGACAAAAGCTCCAGACTGCTCTGAACACCACCTCCAACTCCACTTCCAACTGAACTGAACCTCAGTTCTGGGCTCATTGGGGGAGAGACTAGACTGTTTGGTAGCAGGCGAAACTCGAGGGCACCTCACTCTCAGAGGTGCTTGCAGCAAGTACAGAAGGACCCTGAGAAACACTGACTCAGGAGCCGCATAGGGTGTGGCTGACGGAAGCCAAGGCTGTAGGCTCCAATAAGGGGTTTTATTTTATTTTTTTAATACATTTTATTGATTTTTAAAAATATATATTTTATTGATTTTATACAGAGAGGAAGGGAGAGAGTGAGTCAGAAAATGCCTTGGTTGAGAGAGTCATCGATCAGCTGCCTCCTGCACACCCCCCACTGGGGATATGCCCTCAACCAAGGCACATGCCCCTGACCGGAATCGAACCCCAGACCCTTCAGTCCCCAAGCCGACGCTCTATCCATTGAGCCAAACCGGTCCCGGCCATTTTATTGATTTTTTACAGAGAGGAAGGGAGAGGGACAGAGAGCTAGAAACATCGATGAGAGAGAAACATCGACCAGCTGCCTCCTGCACACCCTCTACTGGGGATGTGCCCTTGACTGGAATTGAACCTGGGACCCTTGAGTCCGCAGGCCCACGCTCTATCCACTGAGCCAAACCGGTTTTGGCGATGTCAATTATATTTCTAAGGAATATGACTACATATTGAGCTCTGTATATACTCAACAATGTAGAGAGTCTATTTGGTGCTGGTCTCTCAGTTAGGAGAGGAATGAGCCATCCATTAAAGTAGCAGATGCCTCGGGATGTGCATGCTGCGACTCCCTGCTTAGTGATGGACAGACAGTATCTTGGCCGCCATGTCAATAAAAGGACGTCCGCATCACGTATCCCGAGGGAAGTGTCTGTCTGCACGTGGTGCTGCCGTAAACCGCATAGAGTTGCATTCAGCTCGTGGTGGTCGACCTGCGCTTCTCCGCCTGTTCTCGAAGTGCATGATGGTCTTTCAGGGTGCCGCTGAGTCCTGGAGGTATTTTGCACTTACAGAGTCTCCCAATGAGGAGAAGATGCTAGTTTATCTCAGTGGAGAATTACTGTGACCCGGGCTAACTTCGATAAAAATGAGCATGCCATTCGTACCCCATTAGATCGACTCATTTTCACACAGAAAATGCTCTGAAGTGAATTTTTTTTTAGATGCACTTCACCTATCTGAGCCTTCAATGTTACATCTATAACTCAATGTTCCTTCTTTTTTAAAAAAAAACATATATATATATTTTATTGATTTTTTACAGAGAGGAAGAGAAAGGGATAGAGAGTTAGAAACATCAATGAGAGAGAATCATCGATCAGCTGCCTCTTGCACACCACCTACTGGGGATGCGCCCACAACCAAGGTACATGCCCTTGACTGGAATGGAACCAGGAACCTTTCAGTCCGCAGGCCGACGCTCTATCTACTGAGCCGAACTGGTCCGGCATAAAAAGTCCGGATTTTTTGGAAAGAATCTTTAGACACGGGACAAATTGTTAAAAAGATTTTTGGACGCGGGACCAATTGTTAAAAATCGGGACTGTCCTGCCAAAAGCGGGACGTCTGGTCACCTTACTTTAGGGCCACCGAAGGGGGAGAGGTGGCACCAGCAGCCAAACAGCTTGGTGGCAGGAGCCAAGGAGGAGACAGAAAGGCTGGATTTCTGAAGCCGCCTCAGTGGAGGGAGAAAGAGGAGATTCGAGTTAGCAGGGTTGCTGGGGAGATGAAGCCTGGGCCACGGACAAAGGAGTGCTATACTCTCCCTTGCTCGATAACACGCTCTCTCACTCACAAACCCGGCCCAGGCGGAGGGCACGCTGCAGAGGGCCCTCCTTTGCCTGAATGCGGACATACACAGTCACTGGCCATGACTAGTAGCCGTCACCAGGGCCACAGCCCTCGGACCCTGCAGCGCTTCTCGGTGGCTGGACCTGCACGTCTAACTCAGACGGTAAACAACAGGGCTCTGGAGTGTAGCTTCCGGTGCCTGACATGTGACCTAGCCAGGGTGGCCACGTGGCCAGCATAATTCTCTCGTTGTGCATTAAGTTCAATGTAAACCCAGCAAGGCAGCAGCCTATGACCGGGTGGGGATCCTGTGGTGAACAAGACAGACAAGTTCCTGCCCTCCCGGGCATACAAAACAAAACAAACAAAACAAACCAAACAAAACAAACAAAAAGCAGGGACTCGGGTAGATGAGATCCTGTCCAACGGGGCCAGGAGGGTGGGAAGGCCTCCATGGGGGAAAGATGGCCAGTGAGGCCCAGGATCCTGGGCCAAGGTGAGCTTAAGGGGCCGTCAGACAGGGAAGGGAGGGGGCAGACACAGAGGGCCGTGCAGGACAATGTCAAAAGGCTTTTGTCATACTCAGTAGGAAATAAAGCAGAATGATCGATGTTATTCAACGGTCACCTCAGCCGCTGTTTAGAGGTACAAATGGCTAGCCTGAAGTCAGATGACCACAAATTCAATGTGGGAGCATTCCCAAAGTTCTGAGCTTTCTTTTCTTTTCTTTTTAAAAATATATTTTATTTACTTTTTTAGAGAGGGGAAGGGAGTGGGATAGAGAGTTAGAAACATCCATCAGCTACCTCCTGCACACCCTTCCCACTGGGGATGTGCCTGCAACCAAGGCACATGCCCTTGATGGGAATCGAACCTGGGACCTTTCAGTCAGCAGGCCGGCGCTCTATCCACTGAGCCAAAGCGGTCGGGACAGGCTCTGAGCTTTCTCACCTCGCTACCCTAATAGTCAAACTGGTCAAAATCAGGCTCCGTAGCATCGCGGGTGGGAGCCCAAAGTGGGGGTCCTGCCTTGGCTTCCAAGCCCGCCTCCCCCTCGCTGGTTGCGGTTCGTTGCTGTGCGGGATCGGCTGGGAAATGGGGCCGGTGCACGTCCCCACGGCCCCGGGCAGCGGCGGGGATGGACGCCGCCGCGGTGAGGCCGGGCGCGGGGCCGCTCCGACGGCAGCATCGCCGGCGCCGGCGCTGACACCTGTCGGCGGCGCCAGGAGGCTGAGCCCGAGCAAAGGCGGGTGGCCCCGCAAAGGCCACCCCAGGGGCAGGACGCCTCCTCCTTTAACTTGTCCGGAGGCGGAACGCGGGGCGGGGGCTGCCCGGGGAGAGCGGCAGCCGGCCAAGCGCGGCCTCAAAGCGGTCATTGTCGCCGGGCGCCCCTCCCCCGCCCGGGGCGCGTCCCCATGGCAACGCGGGGCTTCGCGCTCCCGCCTCCCGGGCCGCAGACAGGAAGCCGTCCGCGCCGGGGGCTTCTGGGAAACGGCTGGGATCGGCGTCTGTGCGTCGGCCGCGGACAGCGGAGCTGCTGCGCTTCCCGAGCCCGAGGTTTGCGCCGGAGTGCGGGAGGGTCTGCGGGGAGCCGGGCGCGGGGCCGCGGGGCGCGGCAGGAGCCGGCGACGGACGGCGGCGGGACCTTCCTCGGGTTCCGGGGGACGCAGGCCGCCGTCTCGGCGCCCCGCAGCTGCGGCATGGGGGGTGGCCCGAAGGCCGGGAGGGGCTCTGTGCTCTCCGCTGGTCCTTCCCCGCGTCCTCCGCGACCCCGGCCTTTCCCCTCCCCCACCAGCCGGTTTTGTTCTATTTCGGGGCCCAGCGTCTCGCGGGGAGTTCTGGGACTGGGCTCGGGCGGGGGCGGGGAAGGGCGGGCCTTGCGCGAGTGCTGCCGGGACTTGTAGTTCCGCCGGCCGCGGGCGGAAGTGCGGTGGCCGGGCTGTGGACGCGCCTGGGTGGCCTTGGGGCGTGTGAAATCCGCTGCCGCGGGTGCGGAGGGGCCGGCGGAGGGCGGGGTGGGGCCGGGCTCCCGGCCGCACTGTGCGGGCGTCAGGTAGGGCGATCATCGTCCCTCCACTCCCCAAATACTCCCCGGGCCGCGGGCTGCCCTCCCCGCACCTCCTGTGAGAAGAAGACGATGCTGCCACTGCTGATTTGGCAGGAGTGGGAGGGGACGAGGTGCTGGCTATAAACCCTATTGGTAGGACCGCCCCGCTCCGGAGGAGTGAGTTAAACTTGCGTGAGATACGGATCTGATAAGGGCTTTCCTGATCCCGGTCTTCGTCTTGATGGGGTTGCGGTAAGTTTTCGAAAGGACCGGTTTTCACATCCCGGGTCCCGAATGGATGCGTGGAGGAGCTGCACTGCACGCCCCGTTTCTAATACGTGTGATAGAGAACCAGGGGCAGGGCCGTGACGGTGCAGATACCCAGATACCGGGGGAATGGCCAGAAATAGCACCCAGTTTCTCTGCCATCGAAGCTGGGAAAGCAGTCACCCGGTGTGAGGACCCGGTCCTGGGCGCCTGCCAGGGCTTAGGGAGGCGGCGGGGGGGGGGTGGAGGGGGGGGCTTTCGTGGAATCTGTGATGAACGCCTATCATAAGTCAAAATAGCCACGGTGTGGTAGGCGACTGCATAATATTTGCATCATAAAGCACTGGAGGCTAATTTATTTTCAATATTTCGTTATCTGTCCTGAGGAAGTGAACAATTCTTTTTAAAAATATGTATATTTTATTGAGTTGTTTTTTTTTTTTTTTTTTTTTTTTTTTTTTTTTTTTTTTTTTTTTTTTTTTTTTTTCCCCCCAGAGAGGTAGAGAGAGAGAGAAAGCTAGAAACATAGATGAGAGAGAAACATCTATCAGCTGCCTCTTGCACGCCCCCTGCTGGGGATGTGTCCGCACCAAGGTACATGCCCTTGACCGGAATCGAACCTGGGACCTTTCAGTCCGCAGGCCCATGCTCTATCCACTGAGCCAAACCGGTTTTAGCTGAACAATTCTTCAATTTATTTTTAGGGTAGGGAGTTCTTAAACATTTAAAAAATATTTTTAACTTAATAAATTCTGTCTTAAAATGTTTTTTGTTAAGCACATAATAAGAAAAGCATCCTTGCTTTTGAGTTGACCTAAGTGTGGGAGGGAAGACCAGTCTTAAATTGCAAATAATGTGTTTCAGGATCAGATGCATTTAGAAACAACTACAAGGCTAGCTAGGTTTTTCAGGCCATCTAGTCTCCGTGGCAACAATTCATCTCTGCCATTGTAGCGTGAACTGTGAACAAATAAAATTATTTAGGGACAGATGTTTTAATCTATCATTTTCACATATCATGAAGTATTCTCTTTTTAAAATATATTTTATTAATTTTTACAGAGAGGAAGGGAGAGGGATAGAGAGTTAGAAACATCGATCAGCTGTCTCCTGCACACCCCCCCGCTGGGTATGTGCCTGCAACTAAGGTACATGCCCTTGACTGGAATCGAACCTGGGACCCTTCTTTTCCCAGGCCAACGCTCTATCCACTGAGCCAAACCGGCCAGAGCATCACAAATTATTCTTTTGAGTCTTTTCAACCATGTGAAAACTGCCCTGGTAGGCTTAGCTCAGTGGTTGGAGCATTGGCCTGCAAACTCAAGGGTTGAGGGTTTGACCCTTTTGGGGCACCTGCAGAATCGATGTATCTCTCTTAGGTCAATGTCAGTGTTTCTCTTTCTCTCTCTTCCCTTCCTCCTGCTTTTTTACTCTCTCTAGAAATCAATGGAAGAAATATCCTCAGGTGAGGATTTAAAAAAAATAATTGAAAGCTATTCTTAATACAAGTGTACAAAAATGGGCAGCAGGCCAGCTTTGATTCTGAGCCGTAGTTTGCCAATTTCTGGTATGGTTTATTGATGGGAATTTTCAATTCAGTAAAAAGATATGTTTTTACTTCCTTTATCCACATGTATCCAAATTCTTAGGATATCTGGTCACTTACGTTTTTAATTCTTTGTGTCTTAGGATTGCCTGTGAAGAACACGAGGTATTTCTCTGAGGCCCGTGCTCTGCCCATCTTGATAGTCTTTGCTTGGAGTCTTAAAATCAGGATGTCTGCACCGTCAGTGGAAGAAGATTCGATACTCATCATCCCAACTGCAGATGAGGAGGAAAAAATTCTGAGAGTGAAGTTGGAAGAGGATCCCGATGGTGAAGAGGGATCAAGCATCCCCTGGAACCATCTCCCGGACCCAGAGGTGTTCCGGCAGCGGTTCCGGAAGTTTGGGTACCAGGATTCACCGGGGCCGCGGGAAGCTGTGAGCCGGCTTCGAGAACTTTGCCGTCTGTGGCTCAGGCCCGAGACACACACAAAAGAACAGATCCTGGAGCTGGTCGTGCTGGAGCAGTTCGTTGCCATCCTACCCAAGGAGCTGCAGACGTGGGTCCGAGAGCATCACCCGGAGAACGGAGAGGAGGCCGTGACGGTGCTGGAGGATTTAGAGAGTGAACTGGATGATCCCGGGCAGCCGGTGAGCCTGCTTGTGCTGCTTTCCTGCGCCAGAAGCACTGGCCCCCCTGCAGGCACACTGCTGAGCCACCTCCACTCCACTGCGTACATGTGCCCTCTGGTGTCTCATGTCCCGGTAGTTCTGATTCTCGTTAAATTCCCCGTCAACTGAACCACATCTCATTCGCAGGTTTCTCTCCGCCGGCGGAAACGGGAGGTGCTGGTAGAGGAGATTGTATCGCAGGAAGAAGCTCAGGGATTACCAAGTTCTGAGCTCGATGCTGTGGAAAACCAGCTCAAGTGGGCGTCCTGGGAACTCCACTCCCTAAGACACTGTGGTGAGGACCAGGCTTCCCCATGGGTCTAATGTCTAGACCCCGAGGTCTAATGTCTAGAGACCATTGCGTATTGTGTGTGTGTGTGTGTGTGTGTGTGTGTGTGTGTGTGTGAGAGAGAGAGAGAGAGAGAGAGAGAGAGAGAGCGCGCGCGCGCGCGCGCTAGAAACGTCGATGAGAGAGAAACATCGACCAGCTGCCTCTTGCACACCCCCTACCGGGGATGTGCCCCCAACCAACGTACATGCTTCTGACCAGAATCTAACCTGGGACCTTTCAGTTTGCAAACTGACGCTCACCACTGAGCCAAATCGGTTTCGGCACGGTTTCGGCCAGGAGCTTGGTTCTTTTCTCATCACAGTGAGTTTGCTGACCTAGACTGCCATCAGCCTTTTCCTAGACTGTTCAGTTTTGTTCCTAGACTGCCATCAGCCTTTTCTTCTCTTTCCCTGACTCCTGACGACCTGCCCATTTCAGGCTGGCCGGCATCTGCCTCACTGTGAGCCAGCGCCTACCTACACCAGGTCCCTGTGCAGTTTGCATGCAGTGGTGCATATTGGTCATCTGTCCCATGTCCTTTCAGCCTCCTGCCTCATCTCATTGGTACAGTAAACTTACCTGGGGCCCCTTCATGTCTGCTTATTTGTTGATTATTCCTGGAGTCTTTCTAAATTTTCACCTATTTTTTTCTTCAGCATCCTATCCAGAGTCATTTTTTTCTAAGGTTCTTTGGTAAAATGATATTTATATAAAGCTCTTCACCTTTTGTAAGTATTCATTTAAAAATGGGTTTTCTAGCTATAATAAGCTTTTTTTTTTTTTAATTTATTGTTTTCAGAGGAAGGGGTAGAAAAAGATTGAAACATCAATGATGAAAGAGAATCATTGATCAGTTGCCTCCTACATGCCCCCAACTGGGGATAGAGCCCGAAATTGGGACATGTGCCCTAGACCGGAATTGAACCTGGGACCCTTCAGTCCACAGGCAGACACTCTATCTGCTAAGCCAAATTGGCTAGGGCTATAATAAGCTTTTAAATACAGGAAAATTAGATTAGTCCTTCCCAATATTTTTAATAATGCCACATCCTTATTTGTATACTTTTTTTTTTTTTTTTAATATTTTATTGATTTTGTACAGAGAGGAAGGGAGAGAGATAGAGAGTTAGAAACATCGATGAGAGAGAATCATCGACCAGCTGCCTCTTGCACACCCCCTACTGGGGATATGCCCGCAACCAAGGTACATGCCCTTGACCGGAATCGAACCCGGGACCCTTCAGTCCCCAAGCCGACGCTCTATCCATTGAGCCAAACCGGTCTCGGCTTATTTGTATACTTTTGATACAACCCAGTTTTTATCCCTAAAATTACCAGGCGTATTTTTCTGATTCAGTGCTAATGAATCAGGACTTGGGGTGTGGGGCTGAAGTATGCTGGGAATCTGGACTTGTTCTGTGCAATACAGTTTGCAAAGCATTCTCATTGGTTTGAGGTGGCATTTTCTTGGGTAGAAAACTTCTCCCCTGCCAAAACCATTTGGTTCAGTGGATAGAGCACCAGCCTGCGGACTGAAAGGTCCCAGGTTCGATTCTGGTCAAGGGCATGTACCTTGGTTGCCGGCACATCCCCAGTAGGGGGTTTGCAGGAGGCAGCTGATTGGTGTTTCTCTCTAATCAATGTTTCTAACTCTCCCTTTCTGTGGAAAATCAATAAAAATATATTTAAAAAAAAGAAAACTCCCCTGCCTGAGTTTCAGAATACTTTTCACCTCTTTAATTCCTCATTTCAGCAATCCAGTCTCTACCACACTTGAGAACTTTCTTCTTACTGTGCCCTTTGTCTCCACTTAACCCATACACTCCCCTGTTCTCCAAGAGTCCAGGCCTAACAGGTCCTCACTATCCTCTCAGTCTCTCCTGGTCAGCCTTTCCTCCTGCCTTTATTCCTTCACCATTTATTACAGACCTGCTCACTGCCACCTTTCTGAGTGCTGCTGCTCATCCTGTGGTAATGGTCTTGACTTTTTAAGGTTTAGGAAAGTCTTTTTTTTTTTTCTTATAAATTTTATATATTTTTATTTTTTTTAATATTTTTTTATTGATTGCAAAGAAGAAGGGAGAGGGGGAGAGAGAGAGACAGAAACATCCATGATGAAAGAGAATCATGGATTGGCTGCCTCCTGCACACCCTACACTGGTGCCCTTAACTGGAATCGAACCTGGGACCCTTTGGTCTACAGGCTGACACTCTATCCGCTGAGCCACACTGGCCAGGGCAATTTTATATATTTTTAAGTAATTAAAAACATTTATTTATTGGTGTGTGTGTGTGTGTGTGTGTGTATCAGGAAAGTTTTAAATGGAACTTGCTCATATAACTGCCTACAGATGTGATGGTACCGCACTCTGATAATTCACTAGACTCATCTGTCTGAGGCTAAGAAATAAGAGTTCATCTGGATCCTGAGAAACACCCAATACGGCGGTGTTCTCCACCTTCAGCCCTTTCTGAGTGCTGCTGGGTCCTAATCTTGCCTGTGACCAGTCCTGTCTTCTCATTTCAGAAATAGTTACTTTCTAACTGATTGCTTTTTTCTGCCATTGTAGTTTGACGTAATGTCTCCCTTTTCAAAGCAAAAGGATATTATTATGCTTTTCTAATGACCAACCTTATGTTATGTTCTTACAAAGTTCCATCCAGACCTAATTGTCATCTCTCCTGAATGTCTTAAAATCTATCATCTTTCTGTTCTTTTTTCCCTCATCACCATTTATAACCCACAAGCCTGTTACTTCTGTTCAGATTTAAATGTTTAATCCCTCATTGAGTTATTTACCTCATTAGCCTCATAATCAGCCATTTCATATTTTTCTCTTTTGAGAGTGGCAACCTGAGCATCGGTTTGCACAATACAGTTTATAGATGAATGCAAGCTATTTATTTACTTTTTCTTCAAGTTTCTTTCTCCCAGAACAGGAAATGAGCGATACTTAACATTTTCTGTTTATTTCAGATGACGATGCAAGGACTGAAAATGGAGCGTTGGCTCCAAAGCAGGAGATTCCTTCAGCAGTGGAATCTCAGGAAGTTCCTGGTACTCTCGGTGTGGGGGTCCCTCAGATTTTTAAATATGGAGAAGCCTGCTTCCCTAAGGGCAGGTTTGAAAGAAAGAGAAATCCTTCGAGAAAGAAACAACATATATGCGATGAATGTGGAAAACACTTCAGTCAGGGTTCAGCTCTGATTCTGCATCAAAGAATCCACAGTGGAGAGAAACCCTACGGATGTGTTGAATGTGGAAAGGCGTTCAGCCGAAGTTCCATCCTTGTACAACACCAGCGAGTGCACACTGGGGAAAAACCGTACAAATGTCTCGAATGCGGGAAAGCCTTTAGCCAGAATTCTGGGCTTATTAATCATCAGAGAATCCACACTGGGGAGAAACCTTATGAATGTGTGCAGTGTGGGAAATCCTATAGTCAAAGCTCAAACCTTTTCAGGCATCAGCGAAGACACAATGCAGAAAAACTGCTGAATGTTGTGAAAGTTTAAGAAATTAGAAGTAAAAGTCAGCACTCAGGTCTATTTCTTCAGAAATGAAGACAAAATTAAAAACGTGGAATGATACATAATGATACAGTTTGGTCTCCCTATAAGAATGTTAGAAAATCCACTGGGAAACGTAGAACATTGTCACTCAACATTATTTTGTTTGGAAAGAAATGGTGTCATACCTGCCTAGAAATTTTGAAAGTAATTCACATATGAATGCCTAAATTTTTCATGTGATGTTTATTTTCTTACTATTTTTTCCAAATAATGATCTGTTCTTTGTCTCTAACAGTTTTCCTTTGTAGACAGACACATTAGTTTGTGTTGATTATTGAATAATTCTTTGCAAGGATACACTCCTTTCCTATCTTTGTTAAAAGGCAACATAGGGATTATGAAGTCTGAAAATCAAAACCATCTTTTCAGAATTTACTCTTCTGTTTTTTTGTTTGTTTGTTTGTTTTTTACCCAATTTGGATATGCATTTCAGAAAATAGAAGATAAAAAATGACTAAAAGCTTCAAAGTAAAATTAGAAGTGATGGTGATAAAACATCAAAAAGTGAATGGGACACCTAGGTTGGGAAAGATATAAAAATACTTTGATCCAAGGATTGAAGTATATCAAGAATTTATCTAGATGTAATTATTTGCCTGTAGGAAAATAAAAATGCTGCATCCTTTCTGTAATTTAGAGGCATCCCACTAATGAAAACAATGTTCTATGTATCATTAGAAAGTGGACAGTCTAAACAGTAATCATAAACTACAAATGTAGAGAAGACACTAGAGAATTTGCAGTGAATGACAGTTGAGGGGCAAATATGAAGGTAATAGTCCATCTTGGCTTTTAGAAAACAAGATTTGAAGATCTAATTCATTATTATTTTACCTTCGTTTTTGTTAAGGATAGAAAAAAAATTGCTGACCAGGTGGGTAACAAGTATCAGGTTTGTTATTTCATTTTATTTTTTGGTAAAAAAAAAAAAAAAAAAAAAGGGTTGGAAACCAGGCTAACAAAGCAGTCACACATCCATTCATTCAACATTTTCTTCCGACAAGGCACTGTGCTAGGTACTGTAACCCTACCGTGAGTAGGTAGGTCATTCTTCCACTGTATATGATCGGGGGCTACAAAGCAGTTTCTTGTGAGTTAGCCTCTGGCCCCCTTCTGAGCAGTCCTGGGGGAGCCACGGTTCTCTTACCAGGGTGTTGTATTTGGGGGAAAGGAAGACAGCTCAGATTATTAACCGTCTCGCCAGCATTCCTCAGAGGTGAGTCTAAAATTCTATCACAGTTTGGAGATTTTATAAAACTAATCAATCTCTATTAGCATTGAGGTTGTACTTACATGTTAAGTTGAATGGATTATTCTATTTAAAAAAATAAACGACTAGGTTATTAACAACTAGTTTATTAACAGAATTGATGGAACTATTTTTAAAAAATTTTAAGTCTTAACACATTTTTTTAAATGTATGAAAGTAATACATTGTAGTCGTAGGATTATATACTCTTTGGTTGAGAATCACAAGTACTGTGGTTCTCCTGGTGAGTGGAAAACTCTGGAAGTTAAAATATAGAATTATGAGAAAAGGCTCTTTTCTAGTGGGCATTATTGTGTGAAAAATGACCCATTTGAATAACTATTTCATAGTTCCAGAGATTTTGGTTACAACTGGTGCTTGGGTCAAATTTAAAAAGTGGAAGATGAAATTTGCATGAGCCTATTAAAAAGCATCGTAATAAATGCAAGGCCAGCTGGTAGAGAAGCAACGCAGAATGGGGCTTGTTTATAGGTTTTCTGATAATTATAAGAAATGTGCTTTATAGATTAAGGTTTATTGAACTATATGTAGTAATGATATAATGTATTTTAAGTTATACAAGAAAATATAGGGACTTTGGGTCTTTTCTTTCTGTGGCTGAGAGGAAACATGTCAATGTCCAATAAAGGTATAGACTCTTCTGCTCTAAGATGAAATGATCTTGAGTTGATTGATTGATTGATTTATAACTAATTTCTTCCCAAGTAGGCTTTCAGGCGGCATATTCGGAATTCTGCTAGGATGACAGGATTCTTTATGTCAGAGTAGGTAAGAAGGAGCCAAGCTCTCAGTGGCTGAAATTTCATACTTTTTTAGATTTTATATCTTTTCTGTATACCAAGAAGCTTCAGAGTGGTAGATTTGTCTTAAAGGCCAAAGATGTTAGGTTTAATGTGACGGCTTAGACAGAGTAGTGTTAGAGTTGACAAATAAGGGTTGGTCTTGCCAGCTCATAGCTATGGTTTGTTTAGAAAAGATTCCGAGGCTATGGCAAGGCTCTGTGGGGAAAATGGCTGGATCCAAAAAGACTGGGTGATGGTCCCCAGGAAAAGGAAGTGGTTGGTGTACTTGTGTTTCTGATTAGGTTACATCCCCAATAGAAATTGATTTAAAATAACTATTCAGTGATTTATGATTTCATCTGTACCCACACAGATAATCATAGTAATTCTGAAGGCTGCGCAGCCTCTGAAGAAATGGTGATCTGGCAGTTGTCAAGCACTGGGAACTTTTGGTTAGCAAACAAGCAGTCACTGTTTTTTTAAAATATATATTTTATTGATTTTTTTTTTTTTTTTTTTTACAGAGAGGAAGGGAGAGAAGAGAAACATTGATCAGCTGCCTCCTGCACACCTCCCACTGGGGATGTGCCTGCAACCAAGGTAATGCCCTTGACCGGAACCGAATCTGGGACCTTTTATTCCGCAGGCCGACCGACACTATCCACTGAGCCAAACCAGTTAGGGCAAGCAGTCACTGTTAATGGCATGCAGACTGCTGATACCTACCTAGCAGCCACTGAGCATTTGCTCATTACTGGTAAATTCTGGGTTTCTTGGAGGTTCAGCTCCCTACATTCACACCAGTTGGCACTTTACCATTTAGCAGTATGTCTACCGTGTTAATGTAGGTTGAAGGGAAGATGATATGTATTGAAACAATCTGCATGCCCAGGCATCAGATTAGACACTATCCCTGTCGCACTTAGATTTGTAGACTTAAAAGCAGGATTCAGAGATTGTGTGACTTGCCTGTGGCCAAGTAGAGCTAACACAAATCTAGTTCTGTGAACTCCACAGACATAAATTTTTTCACAATGCCATGAGCAGTGGCTGTTAAACCTTGATTTTAGATTTTATCTTTTATGGTTCAGAGGTTTTTATCTTTTATAGTTAACAAATATGAAAAATATTAAATTCGCTCATTAAAATTTTTTATAGTACAGAATATAAAGTGAAAAAGGACATGCTTTCTTATAGTCTTACTCGGTTTGTTACTCTTCCAGACTTAGGCATATATAAGTTTAAGCAAAAATGTGTTAATAGTCGACACTTGTGGTTCCTAAAAAGGCACTGTTTTGAAGTGCTTTACCGTGGATTAACTCTTCATCCTCACAGCAACCATCTGAGGTAGGTACACATCCCCATGTTACATGTACTGCTCTGAAGTTTGTCTTTCCTCCTTCCCAGTTTGATATAGACATTGTTTTTCATGGCTACAAATACTGTTGCATTGCACGAATATACTGTTATTTATTTAACCAACCCCTGGATAGTTTTGTTCTTTTTTTAAATTATTATACAAAAGGTATGGTTAAAGATACTTGTACATATATTTTGCTGCTTGTGTGGGTATTTCTGTAGGATAAATACATGTGGGGTTTTTTGGTCAGAGAATGTGCACATTCAGCATTTTAAGAGATGCCACCTAAAAGATTACCAATTTCTAACTCCCTCAATAGTAAGAGTGCCTACACTCGCACCAATCTGATAGGCAAAATTTATTTTCTTTTTTTTAAATTATGAAAGTATAAATGACTACTAGCTCAATGTGTAAAGCATAAATGATACAAGTATAAGAACAAAGAGTCTTTTCTCCAGCACTTCAGTCACATTCCACTTCCCAGAGTTTAGTGTACATCTGTCTAGTCCCCTTTCCATACATCTCCATTTGAATGTACATAAGCATCTAAAGCTATTTTTACATAAACAGGATCATATATGTACTGTTCTACAGCTTGCCTTTTTTTGGTCTAAAAAACCTATTCCTGAGGTCTTTAAATTTCTTTAATGATTGAATAGGATTCAATATTATGAAAATACCAAGATTGAAGGTATTTTTTCCTCCTGCTCTTACATTGCCAAAGTAAAACTTTCCTCATATGTCTGTGTGCATGTGTGTGAATATTCCTTTAGGGTGGAGCTGTGTACGGTGGGTTATGACATCCGCAGGTGTGCTCCCCGATAGCTCACCTTAGCCTTCCTGACTATATTTTACCACCTGTAGGGAAAGTGTTCATTTTTACATAGGCCTTACCTACCCTTGGTACTTTTATCTGATGAGAAAAAAAAAATCCTTAATTACATTTCCCTGATGAATGGTAAGGTCATGTTTAGTGGCCATTTATAGTTTCACCGTGAATTGTTTGTTCACATCCTCTATATCTGCTTTCCAGTTGGGCTACGTGTGGATGTTTGTTGTTTTTGTTTGTACAGCATCTCTTTTCCCATCTTCTGTAACAGAGCCCTTATTTATTGCGGGGAATCCATTCCCTATGGCTTAGCTGAATACATAACCAGGTCTGGCCTCCCTGAGTTCTGCAGCTCCTTGGCCGCAGTGATGAAAGCACAGGCATGTAACTCAGGCCAGGCCACAGAGAGCCCTCAGCAAACTGCGGAAACTATTGGCAACACGGCTCATGGAGACCCAGGAACTAAGGACTGTGTGTGTACCATGTGGGGAGAGTTTGAGGAGAAGCTCAGAGGCTAGCAGAAAGGACAGAGAGCTGAGTTCTGATGTCATTTTTCTGGAGGCCCTCGATCCAGCTGTGCCTAAAGCCTGCCCTACCTCCGGACTTTAACGATTTGTGAGCCAATAAAGTCCCGTTCTTGTTTAAGATAATTGGATTGGGTTTCTGTCCTGATTAATATAGGTTATTTGTATTTTCTTATTGATTTGTAGAAACCTCTGTAATTTTAAATTCTAGACTTACACTTTATGCACTATATCGGTTAATAAAATTAGCATGGACTTCCATGATTTGGCCTCTGTCAACCTCTGCCATTTGTTACTCCACTCTATACTACACGCCACACACATATACTTTACATACCAATAATAACTGATGGGATGTTGGGAACATCTGTGGATGAAAAGCTTTTCATATAGTTATGTCTTCAGGAATTTCTCTTCCTACTCTTCATTCCAGGGACTGAGAAGGGATTTCGCTGCCGACAATGCTGCAGCCATTGTTCTTGGACATTCCCCCCAAGTGTTTCCTGTATGTGACCCCAGGAGTCCCTCCCCATGACCTCCATCCCCCTTCCATGGTTCTTGGGGGCCCTCATTTAGATCTCAGGCCTGTGGATTTGAAATTGCTCAAGCCCAAGACTTCTGGGGTTTACATCTGTTGCTCCTGTGTGTGGAAACTATATATGGCAGTAAAAGGAAGAGACACCAAAAACATTCTACATCTTGGTGAATAGTAAGGAGAAAATAAATCAGGAGAGGGATATGGAAATTGAGGAAAGGCACTGCCATTTAGATAGGTTGTCCAGGGAAGGTTTCGCTGAGAACATGAGAGTTGATGAAAGAGTGAGTATAAGAAAGCTGACACTGGAGAGAGATTGCAGTTCTGTGAACACAGTACCAAGAACTCAGTGTGGGAATAATGCCTGATTTGTTCAAGAAATAGCAAGGAGGCCAGTGTGTCTCCAGCAGAAGGAACATGGGGGGAAGTAGTGGATGAAGCCAGAGAGAAAAGGGGGGTGAAGGCTATGGGCAGGGGCAGATCATGGCAGACCTGGCTAGGCAGTGGTGGGACTATGATTTAACTTTGAATGAGGAAAGAAGCGACATGATTAGTTGCTGAGACTAGAACACAGTGTGTTGTTTCTTTAAAGTTTCAAAAACGTTCTTTACATATTTTTTGAAGGTAATATAGTAATAGAAAAGGTTTAGAAATAAAAAAGCTAGGTTTTTTTTTTTTTTTTTTTTTTTTTTTTTTTTTAAAGATTAAGCTGATAAGCTAGCCAGACTGATCAGGGGGAAAAAAGGTAAAAATATCTGGAATGAGAATGTGACTTTACATCATACAAATTTATGTTAAGAGTTCTAGTCAAGTTTGCTAATCTTGTCCTGCTGATTCTAACATTTATTAGACATTGCTTGAGCCATCACCAATATTTTGCATAATAGACAATTTCCTTCAGCTTACAGAACAACACTGGTTTTTTTCTGACCTCACGGATGCTTCTCAGTCTCCATGCTGGAATGTACTAATTTTTCTGGACTACTGTATATTTAGAAAACGGAGAGGATGAGGAGTGTAGAATAGCTACCTTATTTTATCTGGATAGCAAGAATGTTTAGTAGAGCAATTCATCAGGATAGGGAAATATCGTTGGCTGTATTTAAAAATTCATGAATTTGAGTTGACCAGTAGGACACAGGAGAGATGTGTAGGTAACAGTTGGCTCTTTACATTTCATTCTCACGAGGGATGGCTAAACTTCACTGTAAAATTGATTTTCACTTTTTAAATTCTCCAAAGAACAGACAATAATTGATTGTACACTTGTCTCCCTACTCATTTCTCAACTTATCATGTCAGTACCTTCAAGCTCCTCTACTTCTGGGCCTCATTTTATTTCCAGACTTTCAAATAGTTTTCCTTTCAATCTTACTTCGTAAAGCAAAGAAGTGAGCATGCCATTCCCTGGTTCAAAGATCCTAATGGCTTTCCATTGTCTTGAGAGCAAAATGCAGAAATATATTTATTCCCACCATACCAAATACTTTTTAGATGACACTAAACCCCAGGAAGTTTAAGTACCTGTTGGTTTACTATCACTTTTACTTTTCTTTTACTTCACTTTAATTTCAATCTTATTCTTACTCTTTCAAGTACATGTTCCAGTCATCATTTTCATAACACCCTAATTCTAACGGAGAATATTTTTCCATTGATTTTTAGGGAAAGTGGGAGAGGGAATGACAGAAGGTCGATGTGAGAAAAACGCATTGATTGCCTTCTGCACAAGCCCCACCAGGGCCCAGGCCAGGGAGGAGCCTGCAACCAAGGTACTTGCCCTTAACCAGAATTGAACCCAGGACCCTTTGGTCTGCAGGCCAATGCTCTTATCTGCTGAGCCAAACTGGCTAGGGCTAAGTATTTTGTTTACCTTTATAATTACATTGAGCTATATGTTTTCTGTATACATCAGTCTTTAAATTATACATGCTTTGTTGGGACAATACATAAACCTTTGTGTACAAATTTTTGTAGACTAAAGCCTTAACATGCCATGCACATAATAATTTGGCAATGTCTGTTGGATTGAAATATTAGATAATTATGAGGGATATTCAAATTATATAATTGTAGCATAATTTTAACAAATGGTTCATACCAGAAAGACAGAATTAAAAATTTTTAAAAATATTTTTCAGTAGAAAACTTTGCATATATGCAGCCTATTATCAATAGGCATGTCAAAAATCAACAAATGTCTGATGTATGTTGCCACTTAAATCAGTGGGTAGGTATTTTTAAACAGAATGTGCTACACAAATTACTCATGGGGTATTCCTTTAGCTTTAATTTTGTTCAATTTATTGATGACAAGATTAAAAGAGAAATCATCACACTTTGACATATGAATTTTTTTTAATTGTTTCACATATTTAAGCTGTGATTAAATGGTAGTATTGAAGAAATTATTTCAAACCACTAAAGATTGTAGGCTTCATTATTGAGAGCAAAAGAAATCCATATTTGCTGTATACATCACAGGAACTTAAAAACTCCTCACCAGGAAAACCAAAAGTAGGCCACAAAACTTTTTTTTTTTTTTTTTTTTGTAGAAAATGGGGCACTGGAGTTGTGTAGTTAATAAATTTAGTATCAGAATGGCATCATATACTGAGTGGCTAGATTATTATGATATCTGAATGCATAATAATCTGGCCACTCAGTGTGTGTGTGTATATATGTATATACATACATACATATATATATTAGAGGCCCCATGGATGAATTTATGCATGAGTGGGGTCTGGCCAGTCTGGCTAGGGGGAGGGGACATGGGCAGTTGGATGGCCTGGCCTGCCTGCTGGTTGAACTCCTGGTCGAGAGGACAATTTGCATATTAGCCTTTTATTATATAGGATATGCACTGGATTGAACAATCACTAGCATTAGCATAAGGTAGAACTCTCCAGCTGTCAGCAGATAAGTGTGATATCAGAGTGAGTGCCAATTAAATAAGGAATTTTAAGTTTTCCCTACATTTTCTAAAATAACTTATCTAATATGTCATAGGTAATTTGGGCTCACTAAAGATTTGAGGTAACAATACTAATATATTTTTAAGTTCTGATTGCACACCCACAACACTGATTTTTACAATATTTGGTAAGGTTCTCAATGCCTTTAAAACACTCCTCTTGTGGGTTGTACTTGATGAGAATTTCTCACATCATAGCAGATACAAATTTCCACTGTTGCTGACATTTAGTAAAATTTTTATTCACATTGAACATTTCCTCACAATACACAAGACTCCTCAGAATTTCTCTTGAGTTAAACCTTCATTATAACAATTGAATCAATGCTTTTCTCTCCATTATGGATGATTTTTTCTTCTTACAAAAGGCGAGCATTAAAACCTTTTTCATAATCATCAATAGCATTCATAAGCTTTTTTCCAGTATAGTGTCTCTGGTACTGAATAAAGTTGGTGTATACACTAAAGGTTTTCTCACATTCATCACATCTAGATTGTCCTGGCCAGAATGGACTTTCTCATGATCAATAAGTTCAGAGAGTTGGGTAAAACTTCTGTTGCACTGAATACACCAATGTGGTTCCTCCCCAGTGTGGATACTCTGATGTTCAACATCAGCGCATGTGCTGAAGGCTTTCCCAAAAGTATCATCTATATGGCTTTTCACCATTGTGGATTCTTTGATGGTTAATGAGATCAGAGCGCCGACTAAAACTTTTGCCACACTGATCACACCAATACGGTTTCTCCCCAGTGTGGATCCTCTGATGTAGGATGAGAGCTGAGCACTGACTGAAGGCCTTCCCACACTCATTACATTTGTATGGTTTTTCCCCGGTGTGGGTTCTCTGGTGTTTGATAAGGTCTGAGTTCTGAGTGAAACTTTTGTTGCACTGTGTGCATGGGTATGGTTTTTCTCCAGTGTGAATTCTCTGATGAAGAATAAGGTCGGAACTCTGACTGAAGGCTCTCTCACAAGTATTGCAATGATAGGGCTTCTCCCCAGAGTGCACTCTCTGATGTTTAGTGAGGTCAGAGCTCTGACTAAAACTTTTATTGCACTGATTACATGCATATGGTTTCTCTCCAGTGTGGATTCTTTTATGTTTAACAAGATCTGAACGACGACTAAAGCTCTTAGAACAATCACTGCATGGATAAGGTTTCTCACCAGTGTGGATTCTCTGATGTAGAATAAGGTTGGAGCTTTGACTAAAGGTTTTCCCACACTCATCACATTCATAGGGTTTCTCACCCGTATGAATCCTATGGTGCTTTACAAGATCAGATCTTCGACTAAACATTTTATTGCACTGGTTACATGGATAAGGCTTTTCTCCAGTGTGAATTCGCTGATGATTAATAAGATCTGAAAGTCGGCTGAATGTTTTGCTACACTGAGTACACGGATAGGGTTTCTCTCCAGTGTGGATTCTCTGGTGCAGAATAAGGACTGAACTCTGATTAAAAGCCTTCCCACATTCATTACATTTATAGGGTTTCTCTCCTGTGTGGATCCTTCGATGTTTAATAAGGTCTGAGTTCTGACTGAAACTTTTGCTACACTGATCACATGGATATGGTTTCTCCCCGGTATGGATTCTCTGATGTAGAATAAGATCAGAGCTCTGACTGAAGGCTTTCCCACATACATCACATTTATATGGTTTTTCACCAGTGTGGATTCTTTGATGTTTTATAACATCAGAACTCTGACTAAAATGTTTGTTACACTGGTTACATGTATAAGGCTTCTCTCCAGTATGGATTCTCAAGTGTTTAACCAGGTCTGAGCGCTGGCTAAAACTTTTATGACAGTGACTGCACTGATAGGGTTTTTCTCCCGTGTGGATTCTCTGATGTATAATAAGATCTGAGCTCTGACTGAAGGCTTTCCCACATTCATCACATTTATAGGGTTTTTCACCAGTGTGGACTCTTTGATGTTTAATAAGGTCTGAGCTCCGACGGAAACTTTTAATACACCAATGACAAGGATAGGGTTTCTCCCCAGTATGAATTCTTTGATGCAGAACCAGAGCTGAGCTCACACGAAAGGCCTTCCCACACTTATCACATTCATAGGGTTTCTCCCATTGGTTTCTCTGATGCCTAATGAGGCCTGTACTCCAAGCAAAGTTTTGTCCACATTCATCACAGTTACACTGTCTTCTTTTAAAGATGTTCTTATCCTTTTCATTTAATATATCCCCCAATTCACAGAATTCTCTGCATTCAGAATCCTGGAGAGCATCGTCTCTGGGACTGTCAGACTCTTCAGCCAATGGCTCATTTTCTGCTGTGATTTCTTCCTCTGAAGCCAGCTCTCCAATCTTGGTCTTGGTCTTACCATCTAGAACAATAAACAAAATTCAAATGGAATGTGTTCTCTATACAAGTAAGAAAGTTTCAAGTGAAACAGATGTCATCACAATATGGAAGTGTTACAAAATCCAAAATTATCTTCTGAGAGGGAAACTAGGAAAACTCAATAAGTAATGGAACACAATATTCAGTTAAGAGAAGTGACTTACCAGATTTGATCTGTATATGTTTGTCACAGGAGATCTGAGAATACCAAAATCTAATCACAGTGACTACTAGGAAAGTTAGACTAAATTAGAGCTGCTACATAAACAATTTATGAACATTTGTAAGGTAAACAGTGTGAAGTAATCGGGAATGGATGCAGGAGGCAGCAGTGCGCAGGTTGTCACTGAGAGGGTATACCAGGCTGGTCAGAGGCAATCATTACGGTAAAGAAAGAGGCATCATGTCCAGAAATAGTCAAGACAGAATCCGAAATTAAAAAAATATGTCTTTAGATACTCCTCCATCTCTTTTGTCTTGATTATCACCAATGAATTGGCCAAGAATGCATAAGCCCTTTTTTGAGTTAGCCAAACTTTGGTTAGTCACTGCCAAACTTCCTTATTAAGGAATGTAAATTAGGAAAAGGTCAGAGAGGTGGGGTCAGAAATCACGAGTTGATTTTTGAGGAGGCCATTTGCTCAACAATTCCAGATCCTGTGATCGTAGGCACTACGAGAACTCCATTGATTGTCAGCCCAATGTTAAACACACCACAGCCAGCCACAGCGGCTCATTGGTTGAGTGATGACCTATGAATCAGGTCATGGTTTGATTCCTGATCAGGAGAATATGCTGGTTTGGGGGCTCAATTCCCAGTGGGGGTGTGTGCAAGAAATTGATTTTTCTTCTCATCCATGTTTCTATCCTCCCCCTCCAAAAATCAATAAAAACATACTAAGATAAAGTACAATAAATTAAATGTTTATGTTGTAATTTTGAAGGCAACCCTTTTCAACTGGCGTTCTGTAAGAAAATGGTGTGAGTGACTTCGTAATTCTCCCCAAAATGATACATAGATACCATGATAGGAGTGACGTTAATACATTATAATGGATGCTTAGAGTGCTTGGGCTAAATTCTCTCACAGAACCACATCTGAGAAAAGTTGCTATGAAGTAACTAGTAAATAACAATGAAATAATGTATAAACAATAAAATTAATAGAAAAATTTAAAACGAAACCTGATAATGCAAAATTAGGCTAAAAAGGAGACAAAAGAAACAAAACATGGGATGAATAAAAACAAGGAGATGGTACACTGAAATGCAAACATCAATGATGTTATATGTAAATTACCAATAAAAAGCAAAGAAAAACCAATAGCTAACATTATACTTAATGGGTAAATAATGAATGCTTTTCTTTTATGAACAAGGAAGCAAAGCAAGGATACCCTCTTTTAACATTTCTGTTCCACATTGTACAACTTCTATTCAGTATTCCTAGCCAATGCAATAAGACATAAAAAACAATTGAAACATATAAATAAGAACAAAGTCAAACTGTCTTTACTTACAGATGATACAATCACATATATAGAAAATCCTTAAGTGTCTCAAAAAAGCTATTAGAATTGGTAAATAAGTTTATTACAGCAATATACAAACATCAATTGTATTTCTGTATACAATGAGCAATTGTATCAAAAATGAAATATTTAAATATAAATTCAGCAAAAATATATATGAATAGCAGTGGGGGCAGTGAAGTTTTAGGTTTCAGGTGGAAATATGATTTCATTATATGTCAGCCTGCAATGAAATAGTAGCTTAAGACTTTGCTCTGCTGTGTTGGGAACACAACAACCTAAACAAAGGACAAAGGTGGATATCATAGGTTAAAAAGGGTGGGCTGTGATGGATATTGTCCTTTCATGCCTGTAGATCTGTTCACCCTGCTCTATGCTTCAGTAGGTTGATAATAGGTTATGCACTGCATCACTTGGGGTTCTGTGCTCTCTGGCTTGCAATTAAATTTAGCTAAAAGTGGGAGGAGAATTGTAGAGTGACCAATTTTTCTGATTTCCCCCCAACAGAGTTGCTGCTCAGGATGTGGGACTTTCAGTGCTAAATCCTAAGCAAACTGGGATGAGTTGGTTACCCTACATCCTGGCTTCCCTCACATCCTGGCTTTCCTCTTCCTGGGCCAGGAATGGGAAGTAATTTTGTTTCTTTTAGCAAAGGCTACAGCTCCTATTAGGCAGCTCTATTCTATAGCTACCCACTCAAGGATCTGGTAATCAACCTCTCCTCTTGTACTTTAAGGCCAAGAGGTAGTAAGTGCTCATCATTGTTTGTCTCCAAGCTGTTCTCCATCCCTTGTTGATTTCTGTAACCCTGCCCATCTTTTTCATGAAACTTTGAATTACCCGAATTGAATGAGCCCAATGTCTTTTGCTAGAATACGGACTAATACATCTGGTTTATTTTTTCCATAACCACTATTATACCTGATATTATACTATATATTTGTTTATTTCCTGTTTTCCCCACTAGAATGTAAGCTCCTTGAGGGCAAAGTCTTGTCTGTTCAGTTCACTGCTATATCCCCCACACTTAAGACCAGTGCTTGGTACAGAGTAAACTCTCATTAATAATAATATTATTTGGATAATAATAATTAACAAGCTAGATCTTAATAAGCATTTATCAACAAATATTAAATTATTTGAAGGATACATAAATGTTAGTGAGTAGGTTATTTAAACTTTCTGTTTTGTATCTACATTTTATAAATGCACTTTTGTATATCACTATAACTAAAATGCTATTTTATACGCACTTTAAGAGAAACAAACAGATGCAATATAATATGCACATCAATTTATGTAAAACTTCAAGGAGGAGGCTCAGTGATTCTCAGGAAAGATGAGAACTAGATGCCTAAGGACAGATTCTTAAAGAAAGACAAACTCTAAATATAGGATAAATAAAGATGCTCCAATACTAAAAAGAGGCAGAAGACCTAGAGTAAAAGAAAGGGATAACAAGTTGAATTTCTTAGAAAAAACAGAGCAGCAATGGGAGGACCAAAATAACAGGGGCTACTATTTATAAAGAACTTAGTACCAGTCAGGTGTGTTCTCAGGGTTTATATATAGGATCTCAACTATAGACCTGGTGCACAAAATTCATGCATGGGTAGGGTCCCTAGGCCTGGCTGGCTATCAGAGCCCGTCTTTGGGACGACCAGCAGGGCGATCGGGGGTCCCTGCTGGCACCCGCCTTGGAGGGGACCAGTGGAGCAATCGGGGTGGAAGGGGTGCCGCTGGTACCCACCTAGGCTGGCCTCGGGCCTGTGGGATGGGGACAGTTCCTGCATTGAACATCTGCCCCCTACTAGTCAGTGCACATCATAGTGACCAGACATTCCACTGTTAGGTCAATGTGCATATTAGGCTTTTATTATATAGGACTAGAGACCATGGGGTGTGGAGGTCCTCAGCCTAGCCTGCACCCTCTCCAATCTGGAACCCCTTGAACATCCATCCCTCTTGCAATCTGGGACTGCTGGCTCTTAACTGCTCCCCTTCCTGCCTGCTTGATCATCCCTAACCACCTCTGCCTGCTGGTCTGATGCCCCTAACTGCTCCCCTGGCTGCCAGATCGCCTCTAACCACTTTTGTCTCCTGGCCTGATTGTCCCTAACTGCCTCTGCCTGCCAGCCTGATTGCCCCCTAACTGCCCTCCCCTACCTGCCTGATCACCCCTAACCACCTCTGCCTTGGCCCCCACCACTGTGGCTTTGTCTGGAAGGATATCTGGTCTAATTAGCATATTACCCTTTTATTATTATAGTTGGGCCCTACTGAATCCTATTCCCACAGTATCTAAATCCTTGTGTAAGTCTCACCCACAATGACTTTGGAACTGGTTATGTGACTTGCTTGGTGAATGACATACTAACAAATGCAACACAAACAGGTTAGAAAGTGCTTTGCATCCCAGGGCTTGGCCTCTGCCTGAGTTTGGAAACTTGCTGCCCTGTGAAAAAGTCTGAGCTACCAGCCATAGAAATCACCAACAGCCAGATGTATGCAACGGATTATTACTGATACTGGCTTAGACCTGCCCTAGCTGAGCAGCTAGATGACTGCATGAGTGATCACAGGCAAGACCTGAAAAACACAAAACTGCCCAGCTGAACCCAGCCCAACTTGATGACCCACAGAACCAAAGAAAATAACATGGTTTAAAAATGCCTGATCTTTTAGGTCACTGTTTTGGGGTCCCTTTTTCTGGAGTGATAGACATGATCCTCAAAATAACCTCCAAGACATGAATTAGTATGTACATATACTAATGAGGAAACAGAATCATAAAAAATAAATAAATAAATAATTGCGACGTAACTGGTTTGGCTCAGTAGATAGACCCTGTGGATTAAAGGGTCCTGGTTTGATTCTGGTCAAGGATACATGTCCGCATTGCAGAACATGCAAGAGGCAGCCAATCAATGATTCTCTCCCATCATTGATATTGCTCTCTCTCTCTCTTACCCTTCCTTTCTGAAATCAATAAAAAAATATTTTTTAAAAAAGAAAGATTTTTATTTTTAAAATATATGCTATTGATTTTTTTCAGATAGGAAGGAAGAGGGATAGAGTTAGAAACATCCATGAGAGAGAGAGAAACATCAATCAGCTGCCTCCTACACTCCCCCTACTGGGGATGGAGCCTGCAACTAAGGTACAGACACTTCACCAGAATCGAACCTGGGACCTTTCAGTCCGCAGGCCGACGCTCTATCCACTGAGCCAAACCGGTCAGGGCAGAAAGAAAAGATTTAAAAGGGGGAATATCGAATACTAACAGATTGGTGATAAGGTGATTATAATGGAGAAAATAGATGATTTGGGGATTTAAAGGAGAGGGAGGCATTACCTGAGAATGCGATTGCCAGAATCCACAACAGTCACGGGACTGTGCTTGCAGCACTGAAGGGAAGGCGCTGCCTAACAATGAAGTGCAGGTAATGAAGAATGCCAATAACACCGATGACACTGATATAGCAATGATGACACCCCCACGCCCAAAACCGCCCAGAGAGAGCGAACACACTGCTGCTCACCTGGCAGAAGCGGGTGGTCTTGAGCTTCAGAATTGAGCGGTATCTCCATGGGTTGCCGCTGCACACCTGACCCTCAGGAGCGCCCGGAGCACCACCATGGCCTCGGGGGCTTTTCTTGTCCAGGTCGGGCTCTGAGACCCCGGGGCAACTGGGCACCACCGGGCTGGGGAGCGAATCACTGCGGAGCCGGGAGATATTATACAATTCCCGACACCAGGCTACCAAAGAACGTCCTCCAGATGTAAAGAAAGAAAGGAGGAAACAAAACCTCCTGTGCAAACTTACTAAGCTTCCTCTCTCATCACCCAGGCGTCAGGCAGTACCCCCCGGGGACATGTCTTCTCCGCTCCGGGCCTGGCGATCTTCAGGCCCCATTGGGGGCAATGCCAGCCACGTCAGGTAGAGCTGCAACGACCGGACACCGCTGTTCGCTCCCCTTCCGAGACCCAGCGACACCATCGGCCGAGCCTTCATTGCGGAGTCTTTTCTTCCTCCCCTTCATGCCTTCAGGCTGCTCTTCCCAGGCGCGGGGGGGCTGCCCCACCCACCCCCGGTGCCCGATGTTCATTCAACGGAACCCAGGGGCCAGCAAAGACGGCCTGACCCAGCTCGCCGGGCCGAGGAGCCGCGCCCAGGGGCGACCCCGGCGACCGCGACGCCCCACGGCCTCTGGCCGCTTCCAAGGCGGGATCCCGCGCGACCCTGCGCCTCTCGCGAGCCCACAGCGCCAGCACCACGCATCTCTGCGGCCGCCGCCCAGCCCCGCGCGGCTCCACCTCGGGCCGCTCTAGGAAGCGGGCGGACCCGCAGCTCTATGGCTGGGCGCGCACTGCGCACGCGCCGGGGGGCCGAGCCTTAATACCCGCGCGTCCGCGGAGCTGCCCGCAGCCTGGAGCTGCCCCAGCCCCGCCGTGGCGAGGGGGCCGAGGGCGGGGACAGACCCCTGGCCTGCCGGTTCTTGACGCGAATGTCGGAAAACAGCTCCCGGGAAAGCGCCCTGGGGCGGGTAGGTTCTGACTGCAGGACGAGTTCTTCCTCAGTTACCGCCTTGGCCTCCCCCTACACCCCCCTCCCCCGCGTGGGCTCCATTCTCCTTTCCTCCTGCCCTCCTGGGTCCCCAGAGCTTTGCAGAGTCTCTGAGTCCCCGGGGGCCTTGGGGACACGCCGGCCGCCGGGCCCCAGGGACGCAGGGGGCCGGTGGGAGCCGGGTCGCAGGGCCGCCGGCTGCCCTGATTCTCTGCCGCATTGGAGCAGCAGAGCCCTGGAAACCAGAGACGCCGGCAGTTAAAGCCTCACATTTCTGGGAATACAGCTGGCCGTCTTCTGCCATCAAGAAAGGCCCTAGGGGCCCTAGGTGGTGTGGCATGCAGACTGAAGGGTCCTGGGTTTGATTCTAGTCAAGGGGCATGTACCTTGGTTGCTGGCACATCCCGTGTGTGTGTGTGTGTGTGTGTGTGTGTGTGTGTGTGTGTGTGTGTGTAGGCGGCAGCTGATCGATGTTTCTCTCATCAGTGTTTCTCTCTACCCCTCTCCCTTCCACTCTGTAAAAAATCATATTTAAAATTTTTTTTTTTTAAAAAAAGGGCCATAGGGGCCCTAGTTGGTTTGGCCTGCAGACTGAATGAATGGTCCCAGGTTTGATTCCAGTCAAGTGCACATCCCTTCCTCTCTGAAATAAAACAAAATTGGGTAATGGCTAGAGGAATGTTAAGGCTCATGATAGAAAAACAAACAAACAAAACAACACCTAGGATGCCTTGAAGAGATTGTTAGTAGAAATATGGATATTAATGGTGATCCTGGAGAGGGCTCAGAAGAAGTGAAAAGGACAGTGAGAAATGTCCTTTCATCTTAGAGAATACGTATGTTGTCATGAACAGAATGTTGCTAGAAATCATGAGCATTAGAGATATTTCTGGTGAGGACTCAGACAGAAACAAGGGCTTGGTTCTTACAGACCCTGGTGCAGAAGCCAGGACATGTCGCTGGTTCCGTTTTTCCTATTTATGATCACTGAGATGGGTGGCCTATCCCGGGCTCAGAGTGACCTAAGCGCTCTTGAAGTCCTCAGGAGAATTTGAGTGATAGAAGACTGTGCCTTCTGGGAAAAGGCATGTACATGCACCAAAGAAAGAAAACATGTTGGAGGCTAGAGGGACAGTTGGGACTGGAGAGTCTGTGTCCATTTAAGGTAAACATTGTTCCCCCCTGGACTGCCTCTATCCCAAAAGAAATAAGGCTTGAGCAAAAGGGAAAGGCATGAATTACTTTCTATCCCACTGGTGAAGGAAAAACAATTACCTTTGTCACTGGCAGCTGGCTTATTGGCTGGTCACACATGTAAAAGGTCATGGGCTTTTTTTCTGCACAAGTGTGAACATACTGAGAGAGGAGGGGAAGGTCATGGCAATTGCCCTGACTCTTGCTCAAAGGCAGGCAGTGTGTGTGTGTGTGTGTGTGTGTGTGTGTGTGTTTCAAGAGGCTACTTGCTGCCCGGCTGGCATGGCTTAGTGGTTGAGCAGGAACCTATGAACCAGGAGGTCACAGTTCATTCCGGTCAGGGCACATGCCAGGTTTCGGGATTATATGGTGCCTTGAGACACCCCTTCCCCCCTTTATAAACACACAGAATGTTGAAGCTCTCTGTAAGAGAGCACTTACTTCAGCTCCTTTGAACTGAGGGTCTAGATTGTCAGTTGACTTGCTTACAGCTGCAGAATGGAAAATAACCAGCAAGAACAAAGGCCTCCACTTCAAAGCTATTCCTTTTCTCACCTATAAATCATGCAGATAGTTGACATGTGCAGATTTACAATTTGCAGACATTGTGTGTATGTTAGTGTGAGATGGGTATGTCTACCATTGTTTACCAACAAGGAAGTCACAAACCGAGTTAACAAATTAGCCAATCTCCTAGGACTTGGAAGAGATGCTGTGGAAAGCATGTACTTTTCTTAATATTTCCCAACTACCCTGGGCTGCCACTTCCTCTCATTCTTTTTTTCCTCTAATTTTAGAAGTTCTAAGTATTTATTGCAAGAAAATTTGTAAGACAGCGTGGGAAAAATGAAATAACCTATATTATCACTCAGAGAACTAGTATAGCACTTTAAGATTATTTCCAGTATTTAATGCATAAATATATTTTTACATGGAATCATAGGGTACATAATTGTCTTATTTTTACATATTAATGTTTTGTCCTTTAATATCAACATCACTTTTAAGACTGTATACATTCATGATGGTTTTTGAAGCATACATTTATAGGTAGAATTTTAAAGTCAAAAGGCAATGCTTAAGGCTTCTGGTTTGATTGCCACCGACAGTATCCACTCACATCCCACTTGCAACATTAGAGTCCCAATTTCCCTGAATTTTTGTTAGTTTGGTGAGGGACATCTCAACTCTTGCTTCAATATAGCCTTTTTAATTCTAGCAAGGCTGAACACTTAGTATCAATAAAATCCATTGAATTTATTCTTTTGTGATTTGCCTACCGTATTTTCTAGCATATAAGACAACTTTTGAAACAAAAAGTCAACCGAAAATCGGGGGCAAAAGACCAAAATTGCACAAAAATTACCTGCAGATCTTGATGGCAAAGTAAGTCTTTTCTTTGAAGAGGGGAGGGGTAGTCTTATACAGCGAATATAGGCCTAAACCTATGTTTTAACTGTAAAATTAGGGGGTCGTCTTATACGCCGGAAAATACGGTATTTAACATTTTTTCCTGTTGACTTTTTAATGGGGAGACAGTGTAGAGAAGTAGAAGGGTTCTGGATTCCTACTGCCTGGTTTAATCTAACCTCACACTGTGTAGCTATGTGAGAGTAAGCTGCGATCCTAAGCCTTCATTTCCTTGTGTGCAAAATATGGGCGTCTGAGAAATACCTAGTACATATAAACAAAGCCCGGACAAGCACCTATTGACCTATGAAAGAACTCTGTGTAAAGAAATCCTCCTTCTGTAATAGATGGTGTATCATTCGTAGTTTGTCCTACCCTTTCAGTTTGTGGAAGAAAACAGGAGTTGAGTAACTCTTGTTACATTTTACCATCTTTTCCAAATGATTCTCTCCCTTTCCTTTTTCATTCTAAGCCTGGGCAGTTGGCCCTCCTGCCATTCTTGTTGGTTAATACATGCTCACCTGCGTGTGCCCCAACTGGAGTACAACTTCTCTATTTTCCTCTGCACCAGATTCTAGATGCCCAAAGATTCCTATTTTTGGTGAGTTATAACCGTTAGGTATTTTGAATAAATACCTAACGGTTATAACTCACCAAAAATGTTTTTCTGTTGCTGGCTAGCCTATGCCCATTCCCACATTGTAGGGAAGTACAGTCTAGAGGTACTTTTCCTGCTGGGTCCCTCAGAAGATGGAAATCTCTGGGTGGACCATGACTATTGCTTTCTGTTGTCAGTTCCCTTTAGCTTTGTCTTTTACAGAATTCATGAAAGACTGAATGCTGCTGATATAAGACAAAATTGATCATGTGTACTTGGAGAATAAATCACAGACCCAGCAACTGATAAATATTTTTAGCATCTGAGCCCAAAGAAGTGCACTAGGAACTGTGGGGGTGCAGCCACAATGATATGGTAGCCATAGCAGCTTCTGATTCAGAGCACTGGAAGGTGGGAGGAAATTATTAGCAACTTTGTCAGTCTTACTTGTAGGAACCAAAGATGTCCTTCTGTCTGGGAAATTTAGACTCTCAACCGCTAGGTTGGGCCTTTTTGCCCCCACCCTCACCCTCATGGAAGGTCTAACCTACAGGTAGGGCAAGGAAACTATTAACCCTTTTTCTGGGACCCACCAGACAAAGACAAAATTCACCGCCTGGTGACCCAAGGACTCCAGGTTTTTCTAACAGACTCCTCCACAGGCTCCTATTTCACTGTAGGCACTGCTTAAGAGACTGGCTGACTCCACTTCACTAGGAACTCACCAGGCATGCTCCACACAAAGGGGGCTTTTACTTTTAATTTCTTACTTTCTTCCAGACCTGTGTCTATGTTCCCCCTCAACCTTCAGATCGTTTTTCCTTCACCAAGTTTGGGTTAGGGACTTCTTAATGTCATTTGGCACTGATCATACCAGTGCCACTGCTGGGTTTTCTCTGTCAATTAAACTGTACAAAATGTCTATTTCCCACGATACCTCGCTCCTGGCACAAAGAACTCAAAAAGAACTGCTGGGTAAATTAATCTGTATTATTGTCTCATTTCAAGCCAACCCTGGGCTCATTAAATTACTTATTAAACTGTTTCCCCATCTGTCTTGCTGCCCTGTCACTGTTCTTAATTGATCAGTAAACTTTTGCATTCCTGAGACAAAATGTCCCTCATATTGTCTCCCAAACCTGGCACACCAGCAATCAGAATGAGTGACTAGAGCATGGACTGCTTACCCTCTTCATGACATTCTCCTGGAAAATGAGGTTTCAATGCACTACTCCATTTTTCCTATTTCCTGAGTATTCCTAATGGTAAGAGAAAAGGAGGAAGCAACAATTCTTCTACCTGCTGTTCTGACTAGTCACAGGAAAAGCTTTCAAGGGATATTGTGCATGTGCACTGGAGAGAGCTGCATAAAGTCTGACTGACTTGAGAACTGGGAGTTTATAACCTTCATGGAGTCTTTGACTAACAAAGATAAACATTTGATAGAAGTATCCTATACAATAGAGGTAATATGCAAATTGACCCTCACACAAGATGTCCACCCCCATGTGATCAAATGGCTGCCACAAGATGGCCACCAGGGGAGGGCAGTTGGGGGCGACCAAGTCAGTAGGGGAGCAGTTAGGTGTTGATCAGGCTGGCAGGCAGGCAAGATGTTGGGAGCCAGCAGTCCTGGATTGTAAGGGATCCCAGATTGGAGAGGGTGCAGGCTGGGCTGAGAGACTCCCCTTCCCCGTCAAGTGCACAGATTTCATGCATCAGGCCTCTAGTTTATATTCATTGTATTCACCAACCAGCTACTTTATACAGTGTGGACTCTCTGATGGCGCATGAGGACTGATCTGTGCCTGAAAGCCTTCCCACATTCATTACATATATAAGCTTCATCCCCAGAGTGGATTCTCTGATGCTGAACAAGGGCTGAGCTCCTTTTGAATGTTTTGCCACATTCAATACATTGATAAGGTTCCTCTCCACTATGAATTCTCTGATGTCTAATGAGATTTGAGCTCAAACTGAAGGCTCTTCCACACTCATTGCATTCATAGGGCTTCTCTCCACTATGTATTCTCTGGTGGGTTATCAGCTCCGAGCTCTGCCTGAATGCTTTCCCACATTCATTACATTCATAAGGTCTCTCTCCTGTGTGGATTCGCTGGTGTCTTACAAGCTTTGAGCTTTGGCTAAAGGTTTTCCCACACTCATTACACTCATAGGGTTTCTCACCAGTATGAATTCTTTGATGGATGATGAGATAGGAACTTTGACTGAATGCTTTGCCACATTCATTACACTTACAAGCTTTTTCACCTGTATGAATTTTCCGATGTCTAATGAGAGCTGAGCTCTGATTGAAGGCTTTTCCACACTCACTACATTCATATGCTTTCTCACCACTGTGGATTCTCTGATGAATAATCAGATACGACCTCAAGCTAAAGGCCTTCCCACACTGGCTGCATTTGTAGGGCTTTTCTCCAGTATGGATTCTCTGATGTTGTGTTAGAGAGGAATGCTGTTTAAACCTGTGCCCACATACTTCACATCTATGAGGTCTCTCTTCTGTAGGAACTTTCTGAAATGTTATAGAGTTTGTACTTAGAATCAGGCTTCTTTGTGGCTCATGATGGAATCTCTTGCTTAGAGATCTGTGTGTGATGGCTTGAGTAAAACTGCCTGCTGGGGAAGGGGAGCCTCCTAATTTCTTCCTTGAAGCACTTCCTTGCTGCCACTCGAAGCTGCTTTTGTGTTCACTGATTCCTCTGAATGAAAGTTCCTGGGGAAGTCCTGCTTTTCCTCCTGAAATATCCTCCTTTGTCGATTCATTGTTCTCATGATCTGAAATGATAACAACAAAAGCCAGATTTTTAATTTCTTCAGTCACTCTCAACACTCACTTTTGATGTGAGAGAAAACAGATGCGCCAAACACAAAAGATATCGCTGTTCACATATATCTGTAACACTGACTCTGTGGACAACATCTCCCTTCCAGAAACAGCTATATTAGCCTGATTTCTGTGGCTGTTCCTTCTCAGGTTCAAGGCCAAGCACTCAAACATAAGATCCTTCAAATTTTGTGCTGGGCTCTCATGTATCATCTCCATTCTATACACTGTCTATCCTCTAGACTTCAATTACTAATGTACTTACGTTATACGCTAATCAGATCCCCAGTTCTACCCCATTTTCCTCTGGTAAGCTCTAAACTTTCATATCCAGTGCTAACTGGACATATTTACTTGTGAATATTTCTTTAAAAAAAATTTTTTTTTAGTGACTTTTTTTTTTTTAAGTGAAGATAACTGATTTTTTTTCTTCTTTTTAAAAAAATATATTTTATTGATTTTTTCACAGAGAGGAAGAGAGGGATAGAGAGTTAGAAACATCGATGAGAGAAGATCATAGATGAGCTACCTCTTGCACACCCCTCACCAGGGATGTACTTGCAACCAAGGTACATGCCCTTGACCAGAATCGAACCCAGGACCTTTCAATCCGCAAGCTGATGCTCTATCCACTGTGCCAAGCCGGTTTCAGCTACTTGTGAATATTTCACAAGCGCCTAAATACATCATCAGTTTGTTTTTTCCTTTATGTTTTCCATGTATATGAAATAGGCCCACTATTAACCAAGCAGTTAAGACTAAAACCTGAAACCTCCACTCCTACCCACATACTCCACTTTAACAATGACCAACTAATTCAGTACAATCTAAATACCGTTAAGCAGGAGTCAACTTTGATACTCCCCACCTCTCACCATAATTCACCTTGATTTACTCACTGTGGCCACTTGATTATAAGTTTCTAACAGGGCTCTCCTCCTGCCTTCAAATGTATTCTCTATCCTGCAACTAAATTTTAAAACATATATCCAATCACGTCATTCCCTTGTTCAAATCCCTTCAAATGTACCCCCCTGCACTGTACAAACTAATTAGAATGACATACAGATTTCCACAATCTGGGTCCCATTTTCCTGTCCAGTTTCTCTTACTACCTCTCCTCTATGAATTCTCTGTTCAGGTTAAATTGAATTATCTGCAATTCCCACAATGGGGTATATTCTCTCACCTTCAGGACTTTGTGGCCTTTGCTTGTGTGATATACTACTACTAGAGGCCCAGTGCACCGGAGGGTCCCTAGGCCTGGCTGGCCATCAGAGCTGATTGGGGCCTTCCAGCTGCTGGCTGGAGTCTCCCTTTTTTGGCTGCCGGCCAGGGCTTTGCTTTGTTCCATGCTGCCCCCTGGTGGTCAGCACACATAGCAAGCAATTGAACTCCCAGTCTCCTGGTCAAACTCCCACAAGGACAATTTGCACCATATATATATATATATATATATATATATATATATATATATATATATATATATATATATAAAATTTGTTCTTCATCCCCAGTTCTGGGCACAGAGTTTTTAAAACCCTTGAAATTTCCTAAGTGGTAGATATGAGAGGAGTGCGTTATTTGTAAGCCCCTACCAACTATACCTGGGATGCTAATGAGTTGACTCTTGGAGGTAGGCTGATTGCCATAGGAACCAATCAAGTGATTAGAGGATTGGAATTTTCAGCCCCATTTCCTGACTTTCAGGAAAAAGGGCTGGACTAAGTTAGCTAGCTAATCATCATCGACCAATGATTTCATCAATTGTGCCCAGGTAATGAAACCTCTGTAAAAAACAAAACAAAACATTAAAGGCATTCAGAGAGCTTCCAGGATGGTGAATGCATCCAGTGTCAGGAGACTGGTATCCCAAACTTCACAGCTACAGAAGTTCTGCACTCAGGACCCTTCTGGACTTTACCCTATGTACTGCTAGTTCATTTATATCCTTTATAATAAACAATAGTAGTAAGGGAAACCCCTGAGTCCTGTGAGCCATTCAAGAAATTATGAAACCAGAGGAGGGGGTCATGGAATTGTCAATTCACAAAAAACCAGATGTGTGGGTAACTTGGACTTGTTACCTGCAATTGGCATCTGAAATGGGGGTCAGTCTTGTGAGACTGAAACCTTAACCTGTGGGATCTGCACTAATTCTGGGGAGTTAAGTGTGAGAACTGATTACTGTGAGGGGAAAACCCTATACATCACATTAAGTGTCAGAACTGCTATGAGGGAAAATCTCATACATTCATTGTCAGAAATATTGAGAAAGTCTTTTCCTTTAGCCTATTTTCCCCACCTGTTTATCTTTTTTTTTTTCCCTACGTCTAGTTCAAGTCTTAAGATGTCTCTATAAGACGTATTCCTTGAACCGCTAAGATTGGGTATAGTGCCCAGTGCCTACTCTTATTCTATAATTTACTACACTATACTGCAATTGCCTTTTTGCTTGTCTACCACCTACATAAACCTGAAAGTTCCTTGAAGATAGAGACCCAGTGCCTATTAGACATGTATTATTACCCAGTTAAGATATATAAGGAAGGATTAAGGAAGGAATCCTATCTAATAAAGAGGGAATATAGTAATTGACCCTCATGCTGTTGCAAAGATGGCAGCACCTACACCTAATAAGGAGAAACATGCTAATTGACTGCCCCACTCTCAAAGATGGCAGCGCCCACACCCTATGAGGGCGGTGCCCAATCCCCTACGCTCTGCTGGGGCGGCAGGCGTGTGTCCACTCTGTGCACATGCCTTTGGAGTCCCCCAGTCTCCTCAGCCCCCCAGGGACGACCTGAGATGCAGGCAAGCCTTGGATGGCGGCTGCCTGTGGTTCAGGTAACCAGGGCTGGCTGAGGCTTGTGCTTCTGGCAGTGGCAGCAGAAGTGTGAAGGGGCATCACGGCCTGCACCTAAGGGTTTTTGGATTATGAGAGGGGCAGGCCAGGTTAAGAGGATTTTCATGCACTGGGCCTCTAGAAAGTAAATTAATGACAGGGAAACTGACACAAGGAAGCCTGACTGTGATCTGTGAGGGTTGCTGAATACAAAGCTGTTAAATTCTAGGTCAAGAGCACCTCTGGCCTAGAATAATAAAGGTGAGGCTTACATGTGGCATGTTTGTAAAATGCAATTCATTGTGTATCTTCAAAGCCAGAGGCCTAATTGATAATAGTTCTCAGATGAGTTCCTATTTCTTACCACTTTGGGGGTAAAGGCAAGGTTCCCAAGGTTTCAGCTGTGCCTTTAAAGGCTGGAGTTGGGTGTTTAACTCGTGGGATGCTCCAAGACATGTCAGATCCTTCCATGGTAATGCTTGTTCTTGTGGACTAGCTGGAATCTGAAACCAGTAAAATATGGTTAGTGTGGTGAGAAAATCCCTACGGAAATGCTTAGTAAAAATCTCAAGAGGTTAACAAAGACATGCCAGGCATGAGGGATAAGGGAAAAATAACTAAAGGTAGAGAAGGGCACGGGCCTAGTAGTCACTTCAGAGTCATGGTTCCATAGAGACAAATTTCCATCTACTGTTATGGTGACGCCACATGCTCCAGTTTGTAAATTCCTCTTCCCACAGCATACTGTACCTCCCTGTCCCCACCTGCTGCCCAGGATCATCAAATTCCCTCTCCAGGTCCTCCAACAGAGTCACAGCTTCCTCGCCACTTTTGGGACCACGTTGCTGAACCCAGGCCCGCAGCTCCTCAGGCAGGATGCTCAGGAACTGCTCCAGCACCAGCAGCTCCAGGATCTGCTCCTTCGTGTGCAACTCTGGCATGAGCCACTGGTGGCACAGCTCCTGGAGGCGGCCCAGGGCCTCCCGGGGCCCAGGTGTCTCCTGGTAGCAAAACTTCCTGAACTGCTGGCGAAACAATTCTTGGCAAGATCGAGTACTCCCATTCTGCTTTAATTTCTGCCCCCAGGAAAGGCTTTCTTCCACTTTCACTAGTATTAGTTCTTGTTCCTGAGGATCTGGAGGTAGCAGGGTTGAAACGGCTCTGCATTCCATAGCCATTCCGGCCTGAAACAGCTGATAAAAAAACTCACAACCGGGTTCTCTACTTTAGAAATTTTTTGAATAACCTCTTCTTTCCTAAAGAGTGAAAAAGCACTGTTAACTTATAGCAATGAAAAAAAAACAAAACCACACCTCGAAGGACTGATAATAATAAACACCAGACAGCCCAATAATATACTGAAAGGGAGCCGGTTTGAGATTGTAAATAAATAATAATCGTGTGGCAAACTAAAATTCACTCATGTCTTTCACTGTGCCCTATTTTATAGAATTTCTACTACTAATTCTATAAGAAATTATTTTAGAAGCAAAATAATGCAATACTAACATGAGTCACATACTGAGAAATTTCCTTTTTAATTCTTTCAATTCTGACGCATCGAGGAGAAAAATCTCTTTAACATGTAAAACAGTACTCTTTTTTTTTTTTTTTTTGTAAAAATCTTATTTTTACTAATTTCAGAGAGGAAGGGATAAAGAGAGAAACTTCAATGATGAGAGAGAATCACTGATAGGCTGCCTCCTGCAAGCCCACCAACTGGGGATTAAGCCTGCAACCTGGGCATGTGCCCTGACTGGAATCAATCCTGGGACCATTCAGTCCGCAGGCTGACGCTCTATCCACTGAGCCAAACCAGCCAGGGCAGAACTCCCTCTTTAATAAAGTTATAAGCCTCAGACTACCAAAGGTAACAGTATCTATCTGGGGTTTTGAAATGCTGATTTTAAAGTATATATTTTTAGTAAACTATCTATGGCAAATAGTGTTGATTCATTTAAGGTAGTAAAAACAGTTTTTTTAAATGCATATTAAATAGTTAAATAAAAATGTTGAATATTTGCCATTTGATCAATTTTGATATTCACTGAATTTCTTCAAGGAACAGAGGAACTAATTATGGGCTCTGTCCTGAGCCCCGTCATAGGATGCAAAGGCTTTTGCTCCTGAATAAATGACTCTACCTGGGAATAACCAAGAAGTTCTTGTTTGAAACCACGTCAGATATAGAGACAGAAGTGAAAAGGCCAATCTCAGCTCTCAAGAAGCTTAGAATATACTGGAATAAACATTTTAAAAAAGTGAACTATGGCAACGAGTACGTATTACATTTTCTGATCCAGGTCGGACAGAATCTGACGTTGGGATGGGGGACTGTCCATAGGAGGGAATGCCCTTGAATTAGGACAGTAGTAACAAACCCTAACACTACCCTTAGCCGCAGAGATTAGGACACGGTGGTTTATTTAGCTCGGCAGCACGGGCTTTTCTACTTTGATGTTCGGTTCAGCCGCAGCATTTGCAAGTGCCCTCCCCGCGGGGAGGCAGGGACCTGAGTGCCAGCCGCATCGGCGTCCCCAGGTCACCAGGAGGCGCCGCCGGGACGAGGGGCCTCGGCCCTGGGATGGGCCGGCGAGGAGCGGGCTCTTCCTCCCCGCGCCGCCGCGGGCCGCGCGCCCTCCCCGTCTCCCTCCACCTCGGGGCCCGCGAGCCTCACCGCGAAGCCAGCAGCAGCCGGCGAGGGGGCCAACGACCCGGCGGCGAGACACAAAGACCGGAAGTGCACCCCCGTGGCCTTCCGCTCGCGACTCCCCGGGTCCCTCCGCCCCGCCCCACCGCGCTCTCAGGCAGCCAATCAGCGCGCTGGATCCTGTCCCTCCACCGCCCGCCCCCGGCGTCCGGGGACGCCGCCGAGCCAGGACCCCGGGCTGGGCTGGGGCGGGGCCGGCCGGGCTGGGGCGGGGCCGGCCGGGCTGGGGCGGGGCCGGCCGGAAGGGCGGGGCGCCGTGAGAGGCCGCTCCTCCCACCTTGGCCGCTGGCTGTCCACCGCCTCCCGCCACCTACTCCTCCCACCACCCCCACCCCCCATCTTGATCCAAGTCACTCCGGATCTCCCCCGCTCCGATGGTTCAGGAACGTTTTCCGTAGCTCCGGTGCCTTTCCAGGGTCTCGGATTAGAGTGATCAGGTGATAACAGGCCGGATCCATGGTAACCATGGCGTTGCAGCAGCCACGGCTTCCCACCCCAGACTAGCAGGTCCGAGCGCCCGTCCCGGGTCCGGGCCGCCGTGCGCTCCCAGGCCCCGCCCCTCCCAGTGGGGTTTCCGGTTTTCCGGGATCCAGCTGTCCCGGAATCTTAGTATTTAAATTTTCCTTGGCCGTTTCGTAGGTGAAAAATGATGTTTCCTGTTGTGTGTAGTTAGCTCGAGGATAAGGTATGTCCCTCTCCTGGTGATTGAACACATACGGTTCTTCAATGGCTTTCCCCACTTTTAAAATTGAGGTGTCACTATTTTTCTTTCATACCTGCAAGTATTTTACTTGTTGAGGGTATCAATTCATTTGTTGCAAGCATTTCCCGTTTTATTTGTATTTGATTATTTTAAAAGTGTTAATACAAGTTGACATACATAAAAACAAATACCTTGTGGAGACAAAAGACACGTATTTGGGGGAAAAAATTTATCAGCATGCAGAGGTATTAGTGACTTACTCTTTTTAAAAAAATATATATTTTATTGATTTCAGAGAGGAAAGGAGATTCATGTCCCAGAGCTGAGGAGAGGCCAGCAACAATCAGGGGAAGGTGAACATAATAAGGGTGTCGGGAAGACTGGTGTTTATGCTTGACCTGACAGATGCCATCTTTTAAAAAAAAATAAATATATACAATTTTTGTATTGATTTCAGAGAGGAAGAGAGAGGGAGAGAGAGACAGAAACATCAATGGTGAGAGAGAATCACTGATCATCTGTTCCCCCACTTCTCTTTCCCCCTCCCCCCCCCACTGGGGACTGAGCCCACAACCTTGATGTGCGCCCTTGATCAGAACTGAATTAGGGACCCCCAAGTCCGCAGGCTGATACTCCATCCATGGAGCCAAACTGGCCTGGGGCCTGATGCCATCTTAAGAAGCAAGTTGGGCCCTAACTGGTTTGGCTCAACAGTGGATAGAGCAATTGGCCTGCGGACTGAAAGGTCCCAGGTTCGATTCTGGGCAAAGGCATGTACCTTGGTTGCGGGCACATTCCTAGTGGGGAGTGTACAGGAGGCAACTGATTGATGTTTCTCTCTCATCTATGTTTCTAACTCTCTATCCCTCTCCCTTCCTCCCTGTTAAAAACATCAATAAAATATATTTTTAAAAAGAAGCAACTTGCTCTGGGTGACCAGCAGTCCGCCCTGGGAGGCGTGGCCAGAGCACCTGAAAGCAATGTTCTCGCACACCTTGGTTAGAAACCACCTGCTTAAGGAGCACGTGGCATGGCTGCAGAGCACCTGTGTTCGTGGAGGCTCAATATATGACGCTGCAGCCGGTCCTGGGTGTGGAGGTTTCAGTGTCTGGCTGCCGCTTCGGTCTCTGCTTCTGTCTGTAAGTCCTAATAAACTTGGTTTAATTCTGGAGCTGTCAGCCCCTTTCTTCCTCTGTGGGCTCCGTAGAGGTTGGTTTGAGTACACCTCAGGGAATTTTCCCAGAGGGGCTGTGCAAAGAGGCAACATGTTAAAGGCAGAAAAAAGGGATAGATAGATGAGTGTTGAGTGTGTAACGTGGCATTTGCCTCAATAGATAATCTCATTTCTTTCCAAAATAGATAAGAAAGTGACACACGAGGAAAAAAAACCCAGTTCCTATCATTCTTATAAGGTGGTAACTACTATATTTAAAATGCAAATTAATTACTTAATTATAAGAGATGTAGACCGAATATTTAGAGCTACTTTCTAGGACTTGGTTTACAGTGGGATAGCAGCTGATTACCTTTTTTTTTTTTTTTTAAATATATATATTATTGATTTTTTTTTTTTTTTTTTTTTACAGAGAGGAAGGGAGAGAGATAGAAACATCGATCAGCTGCCTCTGCCCACCCCCTACTCTTGGGGATGTGCCCAAAACCAAGGTACATGCTCTTGACTGGAATCGAACCTGGGACCCTCTGTCTGTAGGCCGCTGCTCTATCCACCGAGCCAAACCAGTTTTGGCCTGATTACTTTTTAAAAGCCTTAACCAACAATTTCTACTTTGCATGGTGTTTTAGTCCATTTGGGCTCCTGAGCCAAGGCTGCCATAGACTCAGTGGCTCGTAAACAATGGAAATTTATTTCTTACAGTTGGAGGCTGGGGCGTCGGAGGTTAAAGCACCAGCAGCTTTAGTGTCTGGCGAGGCCTCACTTCCTGATTCATAAACTGGTGATGGGTGAGTACAGCTATCCATTTCGTCAAGTTCAACTGCTTGCATTTCTGTGTCATTCAACAGTGCTCTACTTCTCGGTCATCATCAGGTGAGACAAGGGTGCTGACGGTCCCTTAGCTGTAAGCCACTGTTTGGTAATAACGGATAGAGACAGTGGCTTCTGATGCCGAAGGAAAATGGGTCACCCACTCATTCGGCAAATATCACTGAACATTAGTACATGGGAAACACTGATACGAAAAGGGAGGGGCTCATGTGAAATAAAAGAAAAGCTTCTTCATTTTACTTATCGCTCAAAACTCCTAGTGTGAATGCCACAAGAGCAGGGAATCTGCTTTTCCAGGGTTACCTCTCCCGTGTGGTCCGGCATCTGTACAAGATGAATTTCATCACCAGGAGTAATGAGTGCCCAAAGGGGAAACTTGGGGCCAGCACGTTGGGGCCAAATGGGACACATGGGCCAGGGCAAAATAATGTATTGGTTACAATTTCAGCTTCAAATCCCAGGCTTCTCAGTTATTAGCTCTGTAATCTTGTGCATACTTCTTAAATTTTTTGCGCCTCCATCTCCTTTTCTGAAAAAATGAGGATAGTTGTGGTACACATTGTCATGAGGTTGTTATGAGCACCAAGTGAATTAATCCATGCAGAGCAGAGCTCAGTGAATGTGTACTGTTGGTGTTTGGTGAGGGAGGGCTGAGTTGTTGAGAGAGTGGAGGCCGGGAGAAGGAACATTTCCACATTCCTGAATTTGCCTGATGGTAAGAATTACTTAGGGTCTTTGTTAAAAGCATGTATTTCTGGGC